CAAGGTTGATGGGCAGCTTGTTTGATGGACAGGTTGTTTCAGGACTTCCAATAATCACCTGTCACAGAACTAAGTTGATCAGTATCGAGAGAGGTACATTGAGACTGTCAAAAGGTTTCAGTGTGTCAAATGAGATTTTCACTCCTCCTTTTAAATACAGACCTTCAGGTCACATTCCAATTGTTGAAACTGGAATTGGCCATTGTCAGATTAGGTAGCAGTCAGAGAAACTTGGAAGCTAAGCAATGCTGGATCTGGTTAGTAGTTGGATGGGAAATCAGTTGGAAATTTTAGAGCTGTAACTAGACTAAAAGGTTATAAAAATATCCGTATAAGATGGAGAACAGTTTTTCTGCACAGTTGCCAATAAAAGGATGTATCTGTGTAAGGTATCTCTTTACCCTTTCTTGAGGAGGAAAAAAATGATAGAGCCATGTATCTCAACTTTGGAAACTTTAAGATGTGTGGACTTCAATTCCCAGAATTGCCTGGGGAATTCTGGGAGTTGAAGTCCACACATCTTAAAGTTGTCAAAGTTGAGAAATAAGGCTATTGTGAAGAGAAGAAAAAGCCCAGAGTCTCCTTAGATATGCAGCCAGGAACCAGTAAGGACATCTTACTGTTATTGTAATTTAGATTGGGTGGCAAACGTCAATATATAACATGTGCTCTACCACCCAAGCACTTATGCAAAGCTCCAAATGTATGACGATTAGCTGAAGTATAACTTTGATAACAATTATCCTGTGTTTTCTTTCATCTGTTTTAATACATTTCCAGGCAGCTCAAATTCCACATTTTAATATTAGAAATCCACTTTAATTAGAAGTAATCCTTGGTGCCATGTGCCAATCAGCTGTATTTGCATTTGCACTTCTCGGTAAGGCTGCAATATAGTCCCCCCCCCCCCCCCCCCTTATTTTCATGAGTACACTTCTGGTGTATATCTACAATTTCATGTGGGATGGGGTTGGCAGTCAGCCAAAGTTTTAATTTATCTTTGCTTATCTTATTCCAGTATACTCTAAGAGGCTGCGGGTGTGAATAACAAAACAGACCATCAACTGCATTCGTACAGTGATCTTGACACGATTCACTCAATGCTGCAGTTGGGTTTTTGTTTTTGGTTTTCTATAAGCTCCCCGAGAAACAAAACTGGAAAGTCTATAGACTTTTTAGACTTTTTCCTCCTGCAGACAATTGGCCAGGAAAACATTCATTCTCCTAAGGAAAGAAGGAAAACCTACCAAGAAGTTCGAAAACTGTAGCTGCTGTTTCAGAGACCAAACTGGGAGGGAGAGAATAACATATGCGGCTCTCCACGGACTTTGCTGGGGCTAATTATTTTCCACTCAAGGCAATTATATTGATAAAATATCTGCGCTGGGTCTGACAGAATATCTGCTCATCAGCAAATTCACCTCTGTTGCCAACTCTGGATTCTTGCATTTGAAACCATGGTCTGCTTGATGTTTTTGCCTCAGTTTCTTCTATCTGTTGCTCTGCCTCTTGCTGTCACTCAAAATAATTGGGCTAATGAAAGGCAGGAACAAGAATGTATTACACCTTGGGCTTCAAAATAAACCCTATTTGCTGGAACAGCCCTTTCCACCGCCATGCCACTGTAGAGCTTGACACTTCTTTTAAATACTAAATAAGGGTCTATTAAAAGTGAAATCATGAAGAAATAATTTTTATTTTTGTGCATATGTGCTACAGGAGCTGTTTGTACACCTTGTTAGGTAGGTTAAAGGTTAGGATATATTGGAGTATTTCAGATGGGCAATTAACACAAGATCTATTGTTGTGTTATTACAATCAACCTCTAGATATTTTCCAAAATAAATTAAAAAAAAATATCTCTCTTTCTCTTAAGACTTTCAGAAATGTATTTGGATGATTTTAACTGAGATAACAAACATGAAAGCAAATCACCTTAACTTGAAACGCCATTATTTAAACCTTCCTTGGGTGTAATGCTGTTCATTTTTGTGGGGCCAGGTTCTTCAAGTCTTACAGATTTCTAGGTGGTTTTTCCCTGCAAAATTTCTCCATAAACTGCTCTACCAAAGTCACTAAATATCACTTTGCTAATTTCTCTTCCTTTCTATTCCTATACCCCTAGGAATGGTCCAGCTTTGAGAGATTTTTAGTCCAGACTACCACTTTTATATCTATTTTGTCTATATCTATTTTATAACAGAAGCAGCACTCAACAAATGATAGCTTTCTTCCAATATCCTCCAAAGCACCTACGGGCAGGATGTAATGGTGGAAGATTACTAATGGGAGATCCAACCTGGAATTAAGGAGAAATTTCCTGACAGAACAATTAATCATGGGAACGGCTTGCCTCCAGATCTTGTGGGTGCTCCAACACAGGTTTTTAAGAAGAGATTGGATGGTCATTTGTCTAGAATGGTGACGGCTAACCTTTTTGGCACCAAGTGCCCAAAGTGTGCATGGGCACCCCCAAAATGCAATATGTGTGCATCCCCCATGCATGTGCCCCACCCCCCATGCATGCGCCCTGCCCCCGTGCATGTGCCATCCTGTGCATGCATCCTTGTCTCCCACACGAGCCCTGCACATGCTCATGTGTTGTGCCCCACCCCAAGCATGTGCCCCCCCCACATGTGCAGCAGAGACCCAAAGACCAGCTGGCCGGCGGGATAAACATGCATGCATGCGCGGCAAAGCTGACCTGGGGTGATATGGCCACAGAGGGGGCTCTGCGTGCCATGTCTGGCATGTGTGCCATAGGTTCGCCTTCCTGGGTATAGGCCCTCCTGCTAAGTAGGAGGACTAGAAGATCTCCCAAGATCCCTTCCAATTCTCTTATATGATTCAAGTCAAAACTCCCACACTATTTAATGTGATGTAGTGTGCTTATTGTAGTGAACCCAATAAAACCGTTTCACATGAACCTAAAACCTTTTTTAATTCTTGCACTTTCTTTACCTTTTCCCTCAAAAATATACCAATTGTTGAATCTCAATCCCTGAAGAGATGCTTTGGCTGCAAATTAGCACAAGCTGCCTTCTCTCTTCCACGTCAATCCCACAATTTATTTCTTACCTTCAAGACAGAGGGAGGAAGCAGACACTTCATGGATTCTCAGAGAATGTGGTCTAAGCCTCTAACATTTGAGGCCATTAGGCACAACACATTCTTCTTCGGTAAAGCAGAAGCAAAACTTTCCTCTATTGAAACCCTATTCTTTGAGCACACGTGCAGAAGAATAAGCCTGATTTAGCACAAGCAGCTGATTGTCGGTTGGATCAGCCTCCTGATGATCAGCTATTTCAGGCTTCAGGGATCTCATTCACCTATTGCCGCCTCCGCGTGCCCTATTTTCAGCCTTTGCACCCCATTTTTGGTCTCCCCGCGCCCCATTTTTGGCCTGTTCCAGGCACCGAGGATCAGAATAGGCTGAAAATGAGATGCATAGAGGCCAAAAATGGGGCACGCGGAGGCAGCAATAGGTGATGGTGATCCCTGCAGCCTGAAACAGCTGATTGTCGGGAGGTCGATCTAACCGACAATCAGCCGCTTGTGCTACATTAGGCTGTGCTGAAGCTGACTTCTTTCTGTTTGCTGCAAGGAGGCAAATTGCTCAGAGGCAGAGCCAAAGGGTGAGGGCCGGTGGGTGGGCGGTGCCTCAGCAACATTCGCTATATAAGATGCACAGACATTTCCACCCACTTTTTTTTCGGGGGTTGGGTGGGAAGTGCGTCTTATACATCGAAAAATACGGTACATATTTCCAGCATGTATATAATAAAACAAATGGTTCGTGGTGGAATTTTAACAGCAAATATTATCACGACCTGCAAAAAAAGAAAAAGGTCTTTTGTTTATCTAGAGCTTTGAAATAACGTTGTAAAACCAATAGAGAGTTCTGGTATTATCCATATGCTTCTACAACACTATTTCCAGTGGAATCTACAGGACTGAATCAGATAAGGCAAGAGAGCAATCATGGCCTTACAACTGAAGTTTTGCCCTTTATATTGTATGTCATATTGATGAAGGTATAAAAGAGGGAAAGGCTTTGATTGAGATGGTGATGCCATCTTGCCTCTTTTGACTGTGCAGGTGATATCACTAATTTCCTTGACTGATTCCGAGAAAGAAATTGGAGAATGATCTGGAATTTTACTTCTATTAGCTCCGACACATGGAACACAAGGACCATGGACTATTGATCAATCACTGTCTCACTGCAAGCAACCTAAGTTAGAAAATAGAATAGAGAAAAGGCATTTTCTAACTAATTCCACACAAAAGGGGGAAAAATTAAAATTAAAAACAGGATATATGATATCATAATTTCATCCACTTAACCTATAACAGAAAGCTAAATTTTGACATTGAGTGGTAATGCTGAATTTGGAATTTTGAGGGAAAGCTTCAACATAAACATCTGAATTATATGTGATGATAACATTGTGTTAATTCCTGGCCTTGATGAAAAAGGATTCATGTTTTGCTTTAAAAAGGTGGGAGTTTTAGAAAATGTGGGAAGTTGCAGAAAGAAGCAAGAAACTAAAAGTATTGTTATGCAAAGGGAAACTTACTTGCACAATGTTTGACTTCTGCTCAAAGACGTTAAAATGAATAGATGAGCTAAACTGAAATTATAATAATAAATATTTTGATAATGCAATTTTCAGAATACTGTAACATCCTATTAAATGCTGTGGGTTTTACTTCTCAGGACTGCAGTCTAATCTGAATTGATTGGAGCTTATCCAGTGTCTGCTGACCTCAACAACTGATCTCATGTTGTTGTCATTCTTAGTTAATCTCTGTAGACAGCATGGAGATTTGAGTTTTAACTTTTTGCTCTACTTGCACAAGTCTGGACTGGAACTTCTTTGTCTTCTACCTGGTAAAATAATATCAAGAAACTCCAGTACTAATCCCTGGAAATAGTTTATGCAGGAATTTTTATTCTCTTAAATCTTCCAGTGTTAAAGCAACAAGAAAACATTTAGAATGTCCTTTGGTGGTATCTTATTACACTTGATATAATATGTAAACTGATATTCTTTGATGCCAGCACGTTGCCCATACAGAGAAATCTCTGCACAATTAAATGAAGTTTTAAAAAAAAGGAAGAAAAAAAAGAACGAATTAAAAACCATCTCTTCCCTTCCCCTCCCATCTGATTAGGATTAAAGTACATTACTCAATTGTTAACACAAATTGGCAATAATACAAAAAATCTACGCTTTACGTTAGTCAAGAAAAATAACTTCATTTGATTACAAAAGGATAAATATACTTTCTTTTTGTCCTACTGCCACTCTTGTACAATAGGGGAGCACTGCGTCAACAGGGCACAGTGCTTCTAAGATATACAAGGATATGACCGGCTTGAGATTTATTGAGTTGGGGCTGGTACACATGTGCATTACTAACATCAGACAAAGAGATCGTTCAACCAACAAAAGGTTACAGAGCAACGTTCACTAAAGCACAGTTGGAAAGAGGAATTAAGGGGCTGAAGCAGGCCAATATGGCAGCTTTGAAACAGATTTCCTTATACCCACAATGCACTGACAGCAAAGAATGCCTCTATTTGGTTGGTCCACACACTGGGAAGAGGTACGGTGGCGCACCAGTTTGAAAGAGCAAGGTTTTTTTGTGGCTTTTTTTTTTTTGTCATTTCTGTCTTGGATTTCCATCGGGGGGGTGGCTACCCAAGCCTTTTTGAACCTGTGTAAGTGCCCGGAGCAGCTGTTGCTGTGTTGAGTAGTTGTAGTAGTATTGGCAGCTGCCTCACTTAAGCTTGAGCCAAGAAGTAACAGTCTTGGTTGGTTCAGGCTGTCCACAAGGTATACATATGGCTTAGTTCAAGTCAGGCCTTTTCTTTAGTCTATATATGTGTGAAAATTGTATAATTTCCCCCCTTATTTTGAAATTTTTTATTTGCATCTGGTTCTTTCTTTCTTTCTTTTCTGGACACCTTCCTCTCAAAGCAGTCTGAAGCCGATGTCTCCCAAGCTGCGTAGCTTAAAATATAAAAAGCCCACTCAATCCCAATGGAGCAATTGGTGGTAGTAGAAGTAGCAGGATTTGTATTGATATTGCCCCTTGGCCTGAATTTTCGCTGCAGCCATCTGGATCCACATCACAACTCCGCTTCTCACACAGTACACCAGTATAGCCTTCCGGACACTGGCAGCGTATATTGTTGTGGCATGTCCCTCCATTCTGGCAAATTTGAAGTTCATTGTCACATATGTTTGCTGTAAGTTGGAGTGGGAAAGAAAGAAAAGTATAATCAACATAAGACAACTAGTTAAGGAACACAATGACAAAGTGAAAAGCACTGGCTGTTTTCCTTGAAAGATATTTTAAGAAAGAGGAGTATTAGCGGTACCATTAGTGTGCCCATCAGTAATACATACTAAGGATCCTAACATGGCAACTATTAATTCTACTTTTGGACTCTTACTACCAAGGATGACACAAGTGCTCCTGTGATTTTTCTCTCTCTCCCTAATAACCAATTTAAATACTGTGCAGCTCAACTTGGAGCATCTTGATATGTGTGAGATCATATGTTGTGCCTCAGATCGCAATTCATTTCTACGAAAAGTAGAGGCATAAATAAAATAAATCTCCCTTTGAACCATTTAAAGCAGCCATGTGTTTCCAAAGGCACAGGTGGTTGCTCTGAAAGCATTCTGGCTTTTATGCAGCCACCCACTTTGGCACACCGGGATGAATGTTTCAGCTTTCAAAGTATCCATATGGGGCTTGTAAAAGATATGGTGGATTTCATGAGTTGAAGAGAGATGCTTTGTGGCAACTTTGGGAAGCAGTTTGTCTGAATGCTCTACACAAGCCAATCTATGCCACTGGAAGCACAGGTGTCATTATGGGAAAAAGGCCGTTTGTTTGCTTGGATACTCTTGCATACACTGACGATGTCAGACACATGCAGGGAAGCCATGATGGTTCCTAAATGGAAAATCGTTTTGACGGAAAGACTTGGCCCTTGTGAATAGTAGCAAATGGATACATTGAAACATCTAATTCTTTAGCCAAGCTGTGCATTTGGACAGTTCAGTCTTGCTAGGATCATTTTACTTTAGGCTACAGCTGGCAAATTCCAAATCTCAACATTTTCCTTTTGTCAAGAGCTACTGGTGAAAAGTAGAAAGTCAGATAGAACTGTATCTATCCTTCTCCCCGGCTTGCCAATTTTCCATCTATGGAATGTTAACAGTTATCCTTTGAACTGTTACAGCTTTGGAAAGTTGTATTAAATCTATTTCTGATGGTCTTGGCAAGCTTTAAGAACTATCTGGGATGCTCAGAAACTATACCATCAATTTCATAAAAAAAGTATCTTTTTTAACACAATCAAAATCAGGTAATTAAGTAATCTTGGGTTCAGGTACGTAGGCCTGTGCTTTCAGTATTGTGCTTATTGATACAGTGTTTGAATCCTTTTGGATTAATATCTTTTTTTAATGCATTATAGGGTTAACTTGGTCAGGATCCAAGTAATTCTGTACCTCTAGGAGTGCATATGAAGGTACTGCTTCTAATTCTTTAGCCCAGGTCAAGCAGTTAGAATGCCTCTCTACGCCATGATTATTACATTCCCCATTAAAGCCAATATTTGCAGCAAGGAGCACAGAAATCAAGCCCATAAAAATGCAGCATCCTGCTGCTGAGAATAAATGAGAAATGAATCCTTCACACAGATAAGTTTTTACGTGTGGAAAAATAAGCTAAAAGCATGAAGTGCAGCAAAGAAAGCATGTGTCCTGATGAAGACTGGTGCAACCAAATATAAAAAGAAAATAGCAAAGCTTTTTGCATAGATCACCTCTACATCTACAAATGTAGATGGCAAATCAGAAACACAAAACTTTTATTAACCACTATTTATAACAGATAGAAATTATCATTCATACAGAACCAGGTTGACCTCTTTTAATATTCTTCCTTCCTTGTATTCCACCCACCTTATACATCTTCTGTCGGTCTCATCTAACTTTTTAAAGACACTGATAAGTTGGACTATACAAGCAACCCTGTGTTCACTGGCTTTTCTTCTCAAGGAGTGGATCTAACTCCGGTTACAAATCCCTCCTGAAAGACCTTGGCTAGTTCTTGCAATCTCTTGAAAGAGCTAGCACTGGGCAAAATAGAACAATATCAGACATTAAAAAGAATTTCCCCATATTAATATTTCTTTACTTGTACCTAGCTGACCACTGCCTGTGCTCTTCTGTTTTATTTCCCTAAATTTTATCTATATTTAGTTTTGGAGGGCACAGTTTTAGTTTTGGAGGCCTACGGATTCCATTCCCCCTAAAAGAGTCTCATATCATCTATCTATCTATCTATCTATCTATCTATCTATCTATCTATCTATC